GAAGGGAGGTTTTAAGCGAGGACAAGCTATCACAGAGGAGTGGGGGAGGGGAGGACATGCTCTCCCAGAGGCCGGGGGATGGAGGGGAGGGGTGGGGGGAGGACACGCTCTCCCAGAGGACGGGGGAGGCCCGGGTCGGGGGGACATGCTCTCCCAGAGGACGGGGGAGGCCTGGATACAGGGATGGGTGGGGGGGGGACACGCTCTCCCAGAGGACGGGGGAGGCCCGAGATAAGGGAGAGAAGGGGCACCAGGTGGGTTTGGACTCTGAAGCTGATCCTGCAAAAGCGTGACAGGGGGACAGCGGGGGGCCACACAGGGGGGAGGGGCCCATGAGGGGCGTGTAGACCACGAACTTCCGCCTTGAAAACCTCCCCGGCTCCGTGGTGACCCCTTGGGAGCCCCTCCCCACGTGGGAGCTGGTATTTGCTTCCAATTCATTTCCACCCTTTTACTAACCAGCTTGTTCTTCACACTTGGGGAGGCAAAACCCACAGGCAGAACCGGCTCCCCAAACCCCACGTGTCACGGGTCCCCGAGCCCCAGAAACCCCCCTGGTCCCCTGAGAGGCGCCCCTCCCCCACCCCTGCCCTCTGGCGGGGTCCCCGCTCAGCGGGTCCCTGGGCCCAGCCAGGCTGACAGAGGAACTGTCGGGGGTGGGGGGCCTCTCCTCTCCCCTCTGTGCTAACGTTCAGTGATTTCCATTTAAACGAAATGACCTTTTGTTCCCATGTTTCCTTATATTAGAACTGCTTCCTCCCTGCTGGCCCTGAGGGAGCTTTGCCGTGGATCCCAGTGTGTGCGTGTGCGCGTGTGTGTGCGCGCGTCCCACCAGCTGGGCTTCCTCCAATCAGCTCAGGCTCCCAGGTGAGGGCTCGTCCCTCGGACGCCATCCCCAGCCCGTGCTGCCCACCTGGCATGAGGCAGGTCCCCGCAGCCCACTCTGTGGGCTCCAGGAATTTGCTAGAACCCCTCACAGAACTGAAACATGGACCTTCCCCATCATGCTCCTTTGGGAAAGGGCGTCGTAGGGAACAGGCGGGGGGAAGGGCAGGGCTCCCCTGCCCCCGTCCCTCTCGCTGCCCAGCCGCAGCCTGAGCTCTTCACCCTTCGTCCTGGGCTCATCTCACAGGCAGGACTGATGAGCCCA